TGCATATCACTGCTTTTAAAAGTAGAAGAGGGAAGCACTTAGCTGGACACAGCATTACAGAATCAATGGGTAGGGTTGGAAAGGACCTTAGGATCATGTGGCTCCAGCAAGATCATTTCTGCATCATTATTTAATTGCTTAACCAGTCTTGGAATTCATTATGTAAAAATTCTAGGATTTCTTCATTTTTTACCTATAAACTTTCTGAAGTTGAATTGCTTCCTAAAACCCATTGTCATGTGAAGAAGATAGTTGGATAACGTTGGTAGTTAGTCACCAATTGCATACATGAAATGGTATTTCACATTTCTTGCAGAATCCTGTCTGGTACAATACAAACTTAAGAAATATTTAAATTTGTGTATGGGAAGCTTTTTTTAAACTAAATCGTTCTTGCAGCAGTGAATTGCATGAATTTGAAATGAAGTCTTTAAGAAAAGAAAAGACAAATTAAGTCTGTTCGTTTCTGTTCTACCTCTGATCTTCCTTGTAGATTGTCTGACATTTAACATGTGAGTAAGCCTTTCACTGAAGGAATTCAAGGTTATCAAGTTGCTTTTAAAGGGTATCTACTTAGCCACCTGTTTTCATGAAACATCTTGTACTTTCTATAAACTTTCACTGCTATTGGCCAACAGATGCAAAATTAAGTGCAAGGGAGAGAATCATCTTTACAGTCATTCTTGACTTATCTTAGGAAACTAAAAACTTTGAAATATTTGCCTTGAGACAGTACTATGGATGTACCCATAGAATCACAGAATGGTGTGGGTTGGAAAGGACCTTAGCTATCACCTAGTTCCAGCCTCCCTGCAATGGGCAGGGACACTTTCCACCAGACCAGGCTGCTCAAAGCCCCATCCAAGCTGGCCTTAAACACTGCCAGGGACGGGGCAGCCACAGCTTCTCTGGGTAACTTGTGCCAGTGCCTCATCATCTTCATAGTGAAGAATTTCTTCCCCATATCTAATCTGAATCTCCTACCTTTCAGCTTAAAGCCATTCCCTCCTGTTCTGTCACTACAGGCCCTTTTAAAAAGATGATCTCCACATTTCTCATAGGCCCCTTTAGGCACTGGAAGCTGCTCCAGGGTCCCCCCAAGAGCCTTAACCAGGCTGAACATGCCCAGTTCTCTCAGCCTGTCTCCATAGCAGAGATGCTCCAGCCCTTGGATCACCTTTGTGGCCTCCTCTGGAGTCATTCAAGCAGGTCCACATCCCTCTTGTTTTGGGGGCCCCAGAGCTGGATGCAGCACTGCAGGTGGGGTCTCATGAGAGCAGAGGGGAGGGGGAGGATCACCTCCCTTGACCTGCTTGTCATGCTCCTTTTGATGCAGCCCAGCACACGGTTGGTTCCTGGGCTGTGAGCACACACTGCAGGGTCATGTTGAGCTTCCCAACAATCAACACCCCCAAGTCCTTCTCCACAGGGCTGCTCTCAATTCAGTCTCTGCCCAGCCTATAGGTGTGCCTGGGACTGCTCTGACCCTGGTGCAGGACCTTGCACTTCACTTTATTGAACTTCATAAGTTTGCACTGTCCCACCTCTCCAGCCTGTTCAGGTCCCTCTGGATGATATCTCCTCCTTCCAGTGTCAACCACACCACACAGCTTGGTGTCTTTGGCAAACTTGCTGGCGGTGCATCAATCCCATTATCCATGTCGCTGACAAAGATGTTGAACAGTATCGATCCCAACACTGACCCCTGAGAAACACCACACCATACTGGAAGATCCTACGGATGATGAATGGAATTTCATTCCTTTGTTCTGCTGTTGTCTGGTTTTTATAACACAAAGAGTAAGAAGATGTACATTTACTTTAAATTATTTAAAAGTAATTAAATTGTTCAGAAGTATAATTTTAAAGTATTTAAATTATTTTCTTCTGCATGCATTTTTTTTCCTCTAGCTATGAGGAACAGATAAACAAACCTAGCCTGTGACTTGATTTAAATTCACCACAAATTACCGAGAGATTGACACTTAGGCTTTTCTATATAATGCCCTGTATGATTTAAAGTTATATTACCAACATAGTTTGTTTATGACATATCACAGTAGATGTAATTGAAAGCCCTAGATGCAAAGGCAGTGTTGCTAAAATACAGCTGAAGAAAAAATACTGAGCAATACAACCTACTAGTGAAACCGCATTAAGCATAGTAACATTAAGTAATATCAAACTACTGCCAGCTCATTCAGATATGATCATTAATAAAACTCATTAACTCACTGCCTGTTGCTGCGGTCTTAAATCCTATCAATGGAGCATTCATAGCTGATGCTTTTCAGCAAGAAGAGTGATGAAGAGTGCTGCGCTGTGGGCTTCCCTGAGGAATTAGAAATGTCTTGAGAAGGGATTCCCTCTGAGACCTCTTTGACAACTTGTGCTCTATGACCTACCAACAAGCACAATGGGAATCACAGGAAGTCTTGTCTTCCACATTGAGTAGCCCTGATGAAGAAGCAGGGGAAGCCAGAAAAAACAGTTTGAACTATTTGTTTTCCAGTGCCTTGATGGTTTGTATTTAGCAGCTGTAGTCAGAAGTTACATGCTTCAGACAGCTGCAAAAATCAGAATCTTACAAAAAAGCCCTACAAGTGGCCATCACACTGCCTTTGCTTAGGGAGAGTTAGATGTGATGCCACAGTAACTGGTGGTCCAGTTAAAATTGAAACTAAAGCATGAGGATAGTCAAGAGTGACAGATAGTGATAGACTGATAAATCATCTTGCTACCTGGGGACCTCTCTTGAAAATCTCTGGTAAAACTCTCAGAAGGACACATCCAACATGTTGCTGCTTTTAAAGACTGGATCCAATATTGGGCATGGGCACCAAAGGAGGGTATGAAATAAATTATATTGGTTTACAACCTAGGTAACTCACCAGGTCAATCACTGCCTGACTCAGGAACCACCTTCCTTTGCCCTGAAAGTCCTGGTAGTGCTCTCACACATGACTAAAGCCCTCCCGCCACTGGAAACAGTTCTCTTGCATAGAAGACTACTTGCAGTCCATGAGTAGGTTCACCTGACCTGAGGGGTGTTTTCAGAAAAAGCCCATGCCACCAAGATGAAGCAGCTGTTCTCGTTAAAAATGCAAGTTGTGGTTAACCCTGAACAGCTTGTCTGTAACAGAGCACCAGTTAAGACTTCAGCTGAGGGAGAAGCAGATCAAGGTTTTGTTCTTCAGGAATTTCAGATAAGCAGCATGCACTTCTGAGGACTACTAACAGCCTGGGTGATGGTTACTGTCACTGTCTACTGTTGAAGTGGTACCACTGCCTGCAACATGTATGACTGGACCAAAAAGAAAGCCCAAGCGTAAACAGCTTTGTAAGTTGCTCACTATTTTAGCCCTCCATAGCTTGTTTCTAGATCCAGCTCAGTGTAAAACACCCAAGTCCTCCTTAAGAAAGTAACTGGGAGTCTACGTCTTCTCTGCCCACTTAGGCAAATCACTCACCTTTGTACACGCAGTTGTGGACTTGTATCTTCTTTCTGCTCTCCCTCTAGACTGGGTTTTGAGGGCAGACACTGACAGTACTCAGGAGATAGAAAGCACAGCCCTCATGCAGAAGGATGTTGTCCTGGTTTAACCCACAGCCAGACAGCTTGTTACCCACTCCACCCCTTCTTGCCCTCCCCCTACTCTTGGGGGAACGGAGAGGAGAATCAAAAAGAAATGCAAGTCCCACGGGTTGAGGTAAGAACAGTTTAGTAACTAAGGTATAACACAAATCACTACTGCTACCACCAATAATAGTAATGATAAAGGAAATAACAAGGAAAGAGAATACAACACCCTGTCACCAGGTGACCGATAACTTACCCCCCCCAGCCCGATCAAGCACCAACCCATACCTCCTCCAACCCTGCAGTCCACCCAGTCCTTCTGGCTCCCTCCCAGTTAATTCCTGGGCATGACGTGCTGTGGTATGGAATACCTCTTTGGTCAGTTTGGGTCAGGTGTCCTGTCTCTGCTTCCTCCCAGCTTCCCTCCGCCCTGGCAGAGCATGAGGCCCACAAAGTCCTTGGCCAAACCAAAACATCGTTTTTATCAGCTCTGTTCCCAGCCTGAAAGTCAAAACACAGCACTGCACCAGCTACCAAGAAAGAGAAAAATGACTGCTTCTGCTAAAACCAGGACAGATGTACAGACATGAACTTCATTGTATTTTTGGGTAGATGAACTTCGCTGGTTTTCATGGTCTGACAGTTTATGAAAGAAGAGAGCAGCCAGTTCTTGTCCTGTTGTGCTGAAAAAAACCAACAAACCCAAACAAACTCAAACCGAAACAGAGCCAAAGTATTCTTTGGGGGCAACACAGCTCGGTTTGGTGAGACTGACGAATGCCACCCTTGTCGGTGAGAGCCTGCTGGGGGCTGCTGATGAAACATACAGGTGTGGAGCTCCACATCCCAGCACGTGTGCCACTGAGCATGGGTCTTGAGAGTGACAAGCCTAAGAGGAATTCAGCCTTTTAAATCCCACCTCAGCCGTCCACAGCTTAAAGCCGTCCACAGTGGAAGAGAGTTTATTTTACTTTACTTGCCCTGCCTTTTTGCTTCAAGGAAGCTGGATGTAGGAGTAGTTACGCAGCTTCTGCGCAGGGAGAACACTGATGAGCACGAGATTTTCCCCATTTTAAGGGCCACTGGGGAGGGCACGAGAAACTGGTACTTGACCAAACCCAGGACGGAGCCGGAGTGCCGCGGATGTAGCACGTCCCGGCCGGAGCCGCTCGGAGCCGGGAGGCTGCGGGCGAGGTTCAGCCCCGCCGCGGCAGCACGCAGCGGGTCGGCGATGCACGGGAGCTGCAGGGGGCCGCCCCCAGGCCGGTTCCGAGCGCAAGTCCCGCCCGGCGGGAGCGGGGCGCGGGGCGCGGCGGGGGCGCGGCGGGGCCGGGCGGTGACGGGCGGTGACGGGCGGTGACTCAGCGCCTCCCTCAGCCTATAAAAGGCGGGAGGCGGGCGGGCAGCGGCAGCGCGCTCGGCACGCGGGCAGGCAGCGGTTAGGCGCGAGGCCGCGGGCAGCCGGCGCTGGGCAGGCAGGCAGGGAGGGCAGGAAGCGGAGCCATGCGGACCAAGCTGCAGCTGCTGTGCGCTCTGGCGGCGCTGCTCTGCGCCGCGGCACCGGGTCCGCACCGCGCTCGGGGAGCGGCGCCCGCAGTGCCCCCTGCGGGAGAGGGCGATGGGTACGGAATGAAGCTGTGCGGGAGGGAGTTCATCCGCGCCGTCATCTTCACCTGCGGCGGGTCCCGCTGGAAGCGCCTCTCCGCGCTGGCCATGGAGCCGACGCCCGCGGCCGGTGAGTATCCGAGGGGAGGGCAGGGCGAGGTTAGCCGCCGCGACCGACCGACCGACCGACGGACGGCGTCGTGGCAGCCCCTCGGACTGAGGTAGCTCTCGCGGCTCCTCGGTCGGGGGAGGCTCTGTGAGGAGACGCGGGACAATGGGACGGAGTGGACAAGGGCCAGCGCCTCGCGGCGCTCCGCGCTCCTTCCGCTCCAGCCGCGATCGGAGCGTCCTCGGCGCTCTCGGTCCCGGCGCTGCTGTCGGTTCCCGTGACTTAGGAAAGGAACCCCCAGATCTAGAGGAGGAGACGGGGCACTCACTGGGGCGGTATTAGTCGGGGTAACTCGCGAAGTTTGGGTCTGTTCAGGGGCATTGCTGTGCACGGGGATGAGCACCCCTGCCGGCGGCAGAGCCTCCCTGGGCGCTCTTTACTTAAAAAAGCCCAACGCACACAATAAATAGCAGTTCTTGGGCATGCAGGTAAGTGTGATGCCCCAAGGAAGCGGTAGGGAGTGCCTCTCGCTGTGGCTTCCCTCCCTTGCCGAAGCTCGTTAACTCTCCGGTCCGGGGAGACCTGGCTCAATCTCCCCTCCCTGTCAGGAGCTGTAAACGGTGCTCCTCGCCCTCCTGGGGTGTGCGAGGGGCGCTGCTGGACGTGGGGTCGTCCTGTGCTTTTGTCGGTCACTTGTGCTGCTCTGTACAGAAGAGTTGGCACGTTGGAGGGCGGATGGGACTCTAGTGCTTCAGTTTAAACGGCAAGAACTGCTTCGGCAATCTGTGGTGGAACAGATAATGGGTAAAATGTGCCTCAGGTAACTTTAGTCTCATGTTCCAAGTCAAATATATTAAGAAAATGTAAGCAGATGGGTTTTGAGCAGTGTTCTGAAATTCCAGCAGTGGGACAGGGTAATTTTAAACCTCATTGATACTGATATTTGAATAGTGACTATAACGTTTTTAAGAAAATTGGAATTATGGCTAAAATGTGCCACAGAAGAGCTTCTTTTTTCTTGCTTGAGCATAGTGTTAATGAAATAGCATTGGACCTCAGGCAGTTAATGCAGCCAGCATTTGGGGTGTCTTGGGAATATTTCACTTGGGTTTGGGGTTTTTCTTTGTTTTTTTTCTTTTTTGTTTTTTCCTTTCTTTTTCCAATGGAGTAAAAGATAAAATTTACCTTTGTAATTACAACAAGTTACATATAGGCAGCCTCTGCTGGGGTTGTGTTCTTTCCCAGCAAACTTTATTCTTATTAACAATAGCTTCTGAGAGCACCAGTCAGTAAGGAGCCTGCACTGTGCTGCATGCTCTCTAACTCATCCCTGCCCAAAAAGGTTACTAAATAGCAGTTACCATCTAACTGGTAAAGAAGCTACAGCCACTTTTTCTTGTAGGTATTCAGGCAGCTGTTCTATCTAAAAGTTAGCTTCCACATATTAATTAGTAGCATTAATGTAAATATTCTCTGGGTGTTCTCATACTCTTTTCGCTTTCTGAAACAAAAGAACTTACAAACAGCATTAAGACCACAAGACAAACACTTCGGATTTTCTTTTTCACTTAAACGGAAGAGCTGCTTTTCTTCGTATTAGCTGAAGTAAGCAGTGCCACTTGCCTTGCAGAAGTGAAGCCAAGAGAAACAGTATGAAGTGAAAGGAAGTAGAGCTGGATTTTTGAGAACACTTCAGTCAGTGAGACAAAGTGTGTTTCTGAGTAAATTCTGCAAGCCTCTGCCCTTGATAAATGAATGAGTGGAAAGCATAGGCTGAACATAGCTATGGAAAAACACAATCTATAAGAAGCAGTTTACATACTTCATCCAATATTTAGTCCTCTCTACATCTGTTTTTCATATGATGCTAGTTTGTGCAGCTGTGCATGGTACAGGAGTGGTCTAATCTAATTCATGGGCCACATGACATAGTACTGTGTCATTTCTGGGCACATGTCTTTACCAAAAAATTTAGTTTCTATAGAAGTATTGAGACTTCTAGTCAGTAACACTGCAGTTGAAAAGGTAATTGTACCTCATGCATGGCTCTAGCTGTGCACTCTTTGTGTCTAACAGGCAGCATAGTCTTTAAAATGTAAGATTCCCATAGAAGTAAGCTGTAGGTAAATTGTGGAGACACTGCAATCCTGACAGGTCTCCTAGATAACAGTACTTTGCTTGTTATTAATGGAAGGGGTTTTATTGCTGTTTTAGGGCTGCATGCTCCTTTCGGTACTCCTACAGTCTGAACTGAAAAAAAAATAAATCTTCTCTTTAAACAGATTCTGCGCGAACAGCAAGTAACAAACTACTGGGAAACTTGAAGCTGCAATCAGTTTCGGGGCCTGAAGTGGAGCAGCAGCGGAGAAGCAGCCAGTCTTTTGGATGGGAGATGATTAATGACTTGTATAATTTGAATGACATTAATGAGTATGTACCTGTGGCAGATGACTTTAAAGAACTTGTTCGGAAAGTAGAGGAGGCTATTAAGAAAGAGAAGGGGGGAACAGGATTTGCAAACCCCATGGGGTCAAACAATTACCTTTGGGCCAAGTATCCCAGACGAAAACGTGACTCTCTGGGTTTGGCAGGAATTTGTTGCAAATGGGGCTGTACAAAAGCTGAAATTAGTGCCATATGCAGAGTTTAAAATCCTCTCCACATTTACGCTTGAAATCAATGTTTGTTGCAGTGCTACTTTATTGAATAATGTACGGAGGAAGAAAGCTCTCACTGTATTTTGTTTGTGTCTGTGTGCCTGTCAATACTGCTGATTGTCTTTAAAAGTAATAAAAAAATTTTAAGTGTAATTGCAGTGACTTTGGTTTGCTGCAGTAACTTTTAATCTATGTTTTTTACTAAGTGTTTTCATTTTAAGGTTGAGCCTTTACACATATTACAAATGTATTATATATTTGTAGCATTTTAGGAAGAACTTCAATATTTCATAAAAGGCCAATTACACTAAGTGTTACAAAATTTTTCCTTCTCTGTCAATTGAAAGAACATCCAGCTATGTTCTTGAAATTCACTGTGCAAAGCTGTACAGAAAGAATATTTCACCAGTTGAAATTCTACTTAGTTCTTACTGAGTTTACTAATTACTTTTGAACATGCTTTTCTAATTCCCTTGTAATTGCAGAATCATTTTATGCAATATTGTCTTTCTAGAAACTTTACCACAATACAACACTTGCAGCCAAAGTATTTCTTCTCCCACTCACAAATGGGCTTAGCGGGTGAATTATTAACACAATTATTCCTGTATATCTTACTTCCTGCTTTTTCCCCTACCACTGCAGAGCAAGAGCATTGGGGGGTGCTTAAAGTAGTTTGCTCTACAGACACTCGGACATCTTCCTGTGTCTTCTTATGGTCTGCTCTACTTTAGATGTATTTCTAAGTTGCTAATAGCACATTTGTTACCTTTGGAAAAGGCAACCTGTAGAATTAAGCCATACTCTTCTCTGGTTGAAATACTGCTTAGTGAAAGTATTGCATCACTTTATTCCTTTTCCTAAGACACTACTGTTTTCCAATAGCCAGGCATCTAACAATCCTTTTTTAATTAAAAAAACGGTGTCAATTTTATTCAGTGGAGACTGGGCAGAGTCAGTGCTCACTATCATAGAATCACAGAATAGTTTGTGTTGGAAGGGACCTTAAAGCTCATCTAGTTCCAACCTCCTTGTCATGTGCAGGGACACCTTCTACTAAGCCAGGTTGCTCAAAGCTCCATCCAACCTCACCTTGAACACCATGCTCTCATCTTCCAGCTAAACAGCTGCAAAACATTCCTGTCCTGCTCAAATGTCTTAGCCTTTGAGTGTTTCAGTAATGTAAGTAAGAGGCTGGTGTGTTTCATGAGTTGACGACAGCAAGGACACATTGCTGGTTTGGGGGGGGGGTGGGAAGATACATGCTTCAGATCGTTTTAGGCCTGATACCAGGAACAATATGTGCTAAGTTATCTGAACAACCACTTTTCTCAAACTCTTGGGGTTTGTAGCAGTGTTGCTCCACTTCTGTTTCAGAGAAGTCTGGTACTTTCCATGCCTTGTCAGACTTCCTACGTTACCAAATATATCTTACATGTCCCAGCACTAGGTCTCCTGGGTCTCTTCCACACTCACTGAATGCTGCATGAGAGAGGGAGAACCATGTGTGTGTGTATCTCTTTTACATCAGGCTGATAAACCTGCAGAAGATAAACCAAGTTTTAAAGAGAAGCATTTGCAGCTTTGCGTTTGAAAGCTTTCAGCCCAGCACTGAAGAGTGTATAGATACAACTTCCTCCATATCCCTCAGCTCTTTTTCTGTGTTGCCTCTTAGAGGTGTGGAATAGAGAAACACCTTCAAAGAGATGCACTCATCCTGGAGAGGACTTTTTATTCATTGAAACCTCATTGCTTAAGGTCTACATGACCACTTTTCAAGGATTTTTTAGACTACCCTACAATTCCTGGGAATCTTTCAAAAATGTATAGGAGGAAGCACAGGTTCCACTTTCTTGCTGTCCCCCTCAGACTCTCCTTCTGGCAGACCCTTAGCAGATACATCTTTGTCAATCTGTGTCCAAGCACACACAGGCTTTTTCTCTTATTGTGGTTCCATCTTTGTCCAAAACTTTACTCGGGCATCAACATCCATCTCAAGATGTCAGTGAGCTGGGTTTGAGCTTGCACAGGGTCCCAGGCCACACAGACAGGCCACATTTGAAGCTAAAAGTCATTATCAGTCAGGAGAGAGTATGCTAAAATATTTACTCTAGGTATGGTCATAGCCGTGTACATATTCTAAATTCAAAGCTTGCAGATCACAGTGACTTGGGCTTCAAAAAAGCACCTGTTCTGCTCATAGCATAATCCTTTCGCATGGAAGTATACATAAGTGAACATCTACCACTGCTCCCAACTTGGCTTAACAAGTCTTTCTTTCAGACTTGAAGCATCTAAAAATCTCTAGAATTTTTCCTTTGAGCCTATATTTAACCATAAACCTAGAACACAGCTAAACTAAATTAGTTGACCTGTATAGGTAACTGAAGGATCAATGCCCCATGACACAGTCCCCTGCTATCTATGAAGAGATCAGCAAGGAGGCAGGCTTTTCACAGCATTACATAGGAAGAGGATGAGAAATAAAGGTGATTGATAGGTGGGACACCAGAGGCTCAGGCAGGAGATATGAAGAAGCTTTTTGTTCACAAGGGCAGCCCAGCAATGGGGCCAGAACACGGGGAAGTTGTGCTGCCTCCAGCCTTGGGGAGCTTTATTGATGTGGTATTGAGAGAGGTAAGCAGAAGTGTTTTAGTTCATTATATGCAAATATATATTCATTATATGCTATTGTTGATTATATACTGAACATTATATACTATCATATATATATACTCACACACTGTAACTAATTTTTTACACAGGTGCAAGATAGGAAACAGGAACAGCTAGATGTCTTAAATCATACTTGAAATAATGTCTTAATTGGTATGATAGGGGTTTGGTTGGATAGTTCGTACAGACAAGTATGGTCTGTTCAGGAAAGATAGCTAAGACCAAAAGGTTATTTCAAGGATGCGCATGTTTATTCTTAGTCCAGAAGGGCTATCAGATGCTGGAGTGACTAAACATTTCTCAGTAAAAGCAATATTGATGTCATGAAGGGGACTATTGTAGGCTGTAAATTAAGAAGATAATAGAGATTAGTCTTCCTCTGGGTGACTAAAGGACTTATCAAAAGCATGGGAACTTCATACTAATGGGAAATTTCAATTATCATTTTGATGAGAAAGCAATACAGAAGGGCACAGACTACCCAGAAAAATCTGGAAATGCCTTGAAGCACTCTGGAGAAGATGGAGAAAACAGCTGGAGGGGAATGTACTATTTAATTACAACTACTAGAAAAGATCTGACTAAGAATGTGGGCACAGTGGGCATCATAAGAAAGAATGACCATGGTATAATCATCATTTTTAGAAAAGAAAGGAGCATTAAGACAAATCATGACATAAAGAAACAAAACCAGTATATCTATCTACCTAATGTGTCTCCCCATTCTCCAGCATTTACTGAAATTACTAAGTGCCATTGAGTAGCCCAACTGCACCAGTCATCTAGCACTAAGAATTGAGACTAGGCTAATGCCGTAGATGAGAGGAATGCAAGGTATTTCCAGAGGTAACAGGCAGGAACCTTCATGTGTATGTTTGTAAGCTCCACACTGCCCATGCAGAAGCTGCTGTGCATGAACTAGATGGACTAGATGTTAAGTTTGATTTAGCTTTATGATTGATAGATCAGTATTTCTGAGGAGCAGCCACTTTCAACAGTGGCCTGACTAAGAGGTTTTAATGACAAAGGTAGAAAAGCCCATGGATCTGATTACAGCTCAGTCAGCTGTAGCTCAGGCAACACATCTAGCATCCACATTTAACAGTTCTTTTCAACTCCTCTTGGTCTAATTGTTTAGCTTTTGTTTTTTCATTGTTCAAGTTAGATATACTCAATAACACACTAGATGATCGCTAACTGGAGTTCTTGGTGGGGGGAAATCACTGCAATTTTAAATGAATTGCAGTACACTTGAAAAATATACTCAGTTTAATTAACTTAAATCTCTGATTTGTAAATATTTAATTTCTTAATAAAATTTTACAAAAACTCTGTAATAATTGTTATACATATATATAAAAAGTAAAGTTGAAATGAGCTGTCTAGGTTCAGTAGAACTGTAGATAAGATTATAGAAGCAAACTAAGAACAGTAATAGCAACTACTTTTGCAGGACTTTCTATCTTTCTAAGAAAACAGTAATACGATAGCAGCTCTATTACAGAGGGAATGAAATACGGTGTTAATTTTCTCCCAACATGCAGGATTAATCAATCAATCACACACCACCCAGCTAAAATTGATCAGATGTGCTTAAAATATGTACTGACCACACAATTTGACCTTGACCAGGATTTTCTTGCTGTCCTTGTTTAGATGGTCTGATTTGCATCAATTCTGCCTATAACTGTACAATCATATCCTTTTCTCTCCTGGCATACTTAATCCATCTTTGGGTTCTTCTCACACTTCCAGTTCTTCTGTGAATCTTTACAAGGTGGCAGGTGTATCTTTAGAAGTTATCTGACATTATTTCATTCTTATTATTGCTTCTTATTACAAAGAAACAAATTCTTTGAGACGTCTTGTCTATAACATCAGATTTATCTCCACAGATGCGCTAGTTCAAGATCCAAGATCGACAGAAAATTTTGTTTTCCATTCCGTCATTTGTGGTGCAAGCAGGGTATGTTTGACATCTCCCTTTCTGTTCAGCCACCAATTTGAAGATCTGATACTACAGACGAAGGAAAGCAAGGTAAAGACGATAATTTGCATAAACAGGTGTTTTGGAGAGTTCCAAACTTTTTGCTTAAGGGAAAGGTATTTATAAAATACCATTAGGCTTTCATTATAAACTTAAAATCCTTAAAACTGGATCTTAGTTGAATCTGAAGTTTAAAACCAACTCAGTTTCACACACATTCTTACTTCTTAAGGACCTATGGCTTTTGTTGCTGCCCCAAACCTTTTGTTTCTGAGAGGCTTGCTGGCAATTTCAGATGACAAAGCCCAATTCAATGCTGGGAGTGTTTTCCTACATAGCATCTGATAGGCCTGCCTTAGTAGGCCCTCATTCTGGTTACTGAGGTTAGTAATGGAAAATGCACACCAAAATAACAGTACATTTCTATTCAGTGTCAAGCCACTTGACATTGCTA